CTTCTTTTTCATCTTCCGTGAGATGTTAATGGAGCCAAACTGACTGGGCTATTTCTGAGCAGTGGTAAAAAAATGATCTTACCTTCCCCAAAGTCCAAGATCAATTTTTCTTCAGTCCAATTTAAGCTGGCTACATTAAGGAGGGTGCCCATCCATTTAAATGATGAAGGACTTGTTATTGGTCCCTAACCTTTCAACTGTGGAGGGTGGGGGCTTTCTGCAAACCTTTAGCTTTAGAGATCCAGGTAATGGGTATCCCTGGTGTTTTCATGAAGAAAGTATAATTAAATTTCTGTCAGGCTCAATGAGATTTATCACCTGTCCAGCAAACAGAAACTATTTTTGAGTTCTGAAGGGGCTTTAGAACACTTTAATTACCTCAGCAGGGTGGGGAGGTGAGCCATTAAACTGAACAGCAAGTCCACAGTGCTGAAGGGACATTCTGTTAGCGTGTGCCAAAACACTTTCCTGTTTGAACTTAGTTTGGTGTTCTAATCCAGAAACAGGATCAGAAACTTTATGTCTTGGAATACAGTTCACTGACAGCTAGAATGTTCACTTTAAACATCAGGGTGACATTTACCACCTCAGACAGGTCCTTTCTTTTCATCTTCACTTACTCTGTATCTGACCTGCCTCACACTGCCTCTTCACATCAAGCATTCTTGATGATGACACTATTTAGTGGGTCAGAGTTAGTTCTATCATGGATCTGGGAAGTGTGGGTTTTTGCTATTTCTTTTCCAGAATTTTCTATATTACTTACACTGTGCTGAAGTGCTTAAAGACAAGTGCTGAAAATATTTGGGCTTCTTAAATGTAGAGCTACAAAAGGACCTCACACTGTTGCCACCCCCAATATGAAAGTTGGAGCACTGAATTGGAATATTGAATTGCTAACAAATTTCAAAGCTTATCATCCTGGTATTCACTTTATAAGCAAATCTACCTAATCAAGATAATAATTTCAGGTTTTTTTTAAGCTTTCTGAAAAATAACTTTGTAACAGAACTGTTTGGCCAAAACAGTAAGGTACGGAGATTGGAAAATATGTGGAATGTGGGCATAATTCACATACAAAAACTCAATAACGAATTACCACATGATCCTGGATCTACCTCAGTGCTACAGTTTGGTCTTACGGTGACATTCCTCTGGTGAGATCCTGAAATGTCTTCCTTATGGCTTTTGTCTTTTCTGTTAAAATCTCACAAAACATTTTCTGCTTGCTTTCTTTGCCCATCGTTTTGGTAACTTAACATCCCTGAGCAGTGGGTGAGCCTGAAGGCTTAGGAAAGGGAGGAAAGAAAGGCAATAGGAATAGGTATTCTTCTAAATTCTTTTCTGATGATCTTTAATTTTAAATCAACCTGGACCACTTCCTTCAAAATAATCGCATGGGAGTAATGTAATTAATTTAAAAGAGCTCTTTTGGGGGGAGTTAGAAAGGGTAGAAAATTATCTGAATCCTACGCAAGTCTCAGTAAGACTCATTGCATGTATGTCTCTAATCTGCTTTCACGCCTTCTGTTCCCATGTGACCTTCCTCTTTGGAACTCAGACACTGCAGTGACAAAGCACCAGAGCTCCAGGTGGGTTGTCCTAAATTGGGAGCTCTTTTTGCCCTCACATTTGATTTGATCACCCAACTTATTGTTAGTGACAATCTGTGCTGAGATAATCACACTCAGTGGTTTTTCCTCTGGCTTAAAGCACTGACGCAGTGTTTCCTAAGGCATGTGCCTCAGAACACTAGTTCTGTGAGATGCTCTATGAAGAAAGCTTTTATGGTCAAGTAAGTCTGAGAAACATGTAGATACTATTCTTCTCTTAGAGATTCACAATGCAATCTGATTTTAAGGCTTCTGTAAAGTCTTTCAGCAGAGAAACATTTAATTTTTAGTCATCATTTCCCAACTATATTTGACAGAAAAATGCTTGGTGTATGTGTGTGTAAAACTTATTAAGATATCATAGAGTGCACTTTGGGAAAATCTGAATTAAGGTTGTAGTTTCAGTCGATATCTCTTGCATGTATTCTAATACCAGTAAAGGGTTTGAAAAGTGGCA